TAGAAAGGGGTTTAGTTATAGGTAATACATATTTTAAGAAAAAGAGGATAAATAAGTATACACGATATGATGTAGGGAGAAATGACAGTAGTTTGTTGGATTATGTATTGGTAGATAAAAGACTGTTGAGTAGACTTCAGGATGTACATGTTTATAGAGGGGCCACAGATATATCAGATCACTTTCTAGTTGTAGCTACACTGAGAGTAAAAGGTAGATGGGATACAAGGAGAATAGAAGCATCAGGGAAGAGAGAGGTGAAGGTTTATAAACTAAAAGAGGAGGCAGTTAGGGTAAGATATAAACAGCTATTGGAGGATAGATGGGCTAATGAGAGCATAGGCAATGGGGTCGAAGAGGTATGGGGTAGGTTTAAAAATGTAGTGTTAGAGTGTTCAGCAGAAGTTTGTGGTTACAGGAAAGTGGGTGCAGGAGGGAAGAGGAGCGATTGGTGGAATGATGATGTAAAGAGAGTAGTAAGGGAGAAAAAGTTAGCATATGAGAAGTTTTTACAAAGTAGAAGTGATGCAAGGAGGGAAGAGTATATGGAGAAAAAGAGAGAAGTTAAGAGAGTGGTGAAGCAATGTAAAAAGAGAGCAAATGAGAGAGTGGGTGAGATGTTATCAACAAATTTTGTTGAAAATAAGAAAAAGTTTTGGAGTGAGATTAACAAGTTAAGAAAGCCTAGAGAACAAATGGATTTGTCAGTTAAAAATAGGAGAGGAGCGTTATTAAATGGAGAGTTAGAGGTATTGGGAAGATGGAGGGAATATTTTGAGGAATTGTTAAATGTTGATGAAGATAGGGAAGCTGTGATTTCGTGTATAGGGCAAGGAGGAATAACATCTTGTAGGAGTGAGGAAGAGCCAGTTGTGAGTGTGGGGGAAGTTCGTGAGGCAGTAGGTAAAATGAAAGGGGGTAAGGCAGCCGGGATTGATGGGATAAAGATAGAAATGTTAAAAGCAGGTGGGGATATAGTTTTGGAGTGGTTGGTGCAATTATTTAATAATGTATGGAAGAGGGTAAGGTACCTAGGGATTGGCAGAGAGCATGCATAGTTCCTTTGTATAAAGGCAAAGGGGGATAAAAGAGAGTGCAAAAAATTATAGGGGGATAAGTCTGTTGAGTATACCTGGTAAAGTGTATGGTAGAGTTATAATTGAAAGAATTAAGAGTAAGACGGAGAATAGGATAGCAGATGAACAAGGAGGCTTTAGGAAAGGTAGGGGGTGTGTGGACCAGGTGTTTACAGTGAAACATATAAGTGAACAGTATTTAGATAAGGCTAAAGAGGTCTTTGTGGCATTTATGGATTTGGAAAAGGCGTATGACAGGGTGGATAGGGGGGCAATGTGGCAGATGTTGCAAGTGTATGGTGTAGGAGGTAGGTTACTGAAAGCAGTGAAGAGTTTTTACGAGGATAGTGAGGCTCAAGTTAAAGTATGTAGGAAAGAGGGAAATTTTTTCCCAGTAAAAGTAGGCCTTAGACAAGGATGTGTGATGTCACCGTGGTTGTTTAATATATTTATAGATGGGGTTGTAAGAGAAGTAAATGCGAGGGTCTTGGCAAGAGGCGTGGAGTTAAAAGATAAAGAATCACACACAAAGTGGGAGTTGTCACAGCTGCTCTTTGCTGATGACACTGTGCTCTTGGGAGATTCTGAAGAGAAGTTGCAGAGATTGGTGGATGAATTTGGTAGGGTGTGCAAAAGAAGAAAATTAAAGGTGAATACAGGAAAGAGTAAGGTTATGAGGATAACAAAAAGATTAGGTGATGAAAGATTGGATATCAGATTGGAGGGAGAGAGTATGGAGGAGGTGAACGTATTCAGATATTTGGGAGTGGACGTGTCAGCGGATGGGTCTATGAAAGATGAGGTGAATCATAGAATTGATGAGGGAAAAAGAGTGAGTGGTGCACTTAGGAGTCTGTGGAGACAAAGAACTTTGTCCTTGGAGGCAAAGAGGGGAATGTATGAGAGTATAGTTTTACCAACGCTCTTATATGGGTGTGAAGCATGGGTGATGAATGTTGCAGCGAGGAGAAGGCTGGAGGCAGTGGAGATGTCATGTCTGAGGGCAATGTGTGGTGTGAATATAATGCAGAGAATTCGTAGTTTGGAAGTTAGGAGGAGGTGCGGGATTACCAAAACTGTTGTCCAGAGGGCTGAGGAAGGGTTGTTGAGGTGGTTCGGACATGTAGAGAGAATGGAGCGAAACAGAATGACTTCAAGAGTGTATCAGTCTGTAGTGGAAGGAAGGCGGGGTAGGGGTCGGCCTAGGAAGGGTTGGAGGGAGGGGGTAAAGGAGGTTTTGTGTGCGAGGGGCTTGGACTTCCAGCAGGCATGCGTGAGCGTGTTTGATAGGAGTGAATGGAGACAAATGGTTTTTAATACTTGACGTGCTGTTGGAGTGTGAGCAAAGTAACATTTATGAAGGGATTCAGGGAAACCGGCAGGCCGGACTTGAGTCCTGGAGATGGGAAGTACAGTGCCTGCACTCTGAAGGAGGGGTGTTAATGTTGCAGTTTAAAAACTGTAGTGTAAAGCACCCTTCTGGCAAGACAGTGATGGAGTGAATGATGGTGAAAGTTTTTCTTTTTCGGGCCACCCTGCCTTGGTGGGAATCGGCCGGTGTGATAATAAAAAAAAAAAATAAATAATATATATATATATATATATATATATATATATATATATATATATATATATATATATATATATATATATATATATTAGATAGATAGTCTCTCATTGTATGTCTATCTAGTAGACTCAGAAATAGATATGAGGGTGGGATTTCCAGACAGTAAATCCATTGACATGATTCCCTGTCTCTCCCTCTCTCCCTCCCTCTCTCCCTCCCTCTCTCCCTCCCTCTCTCTCTCCCTCCATCTATGGAGTGATTATCTTCGGAACAGTGAGTGAATTGAGTTGAATGAATCACTGAGTGGGCTGTGAGTGGGGACCCTGACGTACTTCAGTGGGTGGCAGTGAGTGTGTTTGAGTGGGTACTGAGAGGGGGCTGAGTGGGTTTCAGTGTGTTTAACGGGGTACTGAGTGGGTTTCAGTGTGTTTAAGTGGGTACTGAGTGGGTTTCAGTGTTTGAGGGGGCAGTGAGTGGGTACTGATTGGGTTTCAGTGTTTGAGAGGGAAATGAGTGGGTTTAACTGGGTACTAAGTGGGTTTCAATGTGTTTGAGGGGGCACTGAGAGGGTTTGAGTGGGTACTGAGTGGGTTTGAGTGGGTACTGAGTGGGTTTGAGTGTGCTTGAGTGGGCAGTGAGTGGGCTTGAGTGTGCTTGAGTGGGCAGTGAGTGGGAAGTGAGTGGGTTTGAGTGTGCTTGAGTGGGCAGTGAGTGGGTTTGAGTGTGCTTGAGTGGGCAGTGAGTGGGTTTGAATGTACTTGAGTGGGCAGTGAGTGGGTTTGAGTGTGCTTGAGTGGGCAGTGAGTGGGTTTGAGCGTGCTTGAGTGGGCAGTGAGTGGGTTTGAGTGTCCTTGAGTGCACAGTGAGTGGGTTTGAATGTGCTTGAGTGGGCAATGAGTGGGTTTGAGTGTGCTTGAGTGGGCAATGAGTGGGTTTGAGTGTGCTTGAGTGGGCAATGAGTGGGTTTGAGTGGGTTTGAGTGTGCTTGAGTGGGCAATGAGTGGGTTTGAGTGTGCTTGAGTGGGCAATGAGTGGGTTTGAGTGTGCTTGAGTGGGCAATGAGTGGGTTTGAGTGGGTTTGAGTGTGCTTGAGTGGGTAATGAGTGGGTTTGAGTGGGTTTGAGTGTGCTTGAGTGGGTAATGAGTGGGTTTGAGTGGATTTCAGTGAAAGATCGTTCTCTAAAATAGTGAAGAGTGAAATAAGGGAGTATAACAGTGAAATAAGGGAGTATAACAGTGAAATAAGGGAGTATAACAGTGAAATAAGGGAGTATAACAGTGAAATAAGGAAGTATAACAGTGAAATAAGGGAGTATAACAGTGAAATAAGGGAGTATAACAGTGAAATAAGGGAGTATAACAGTGAAATAAGGGAGTATAACAGCGAAATAAGGGAGTATAACAGTGAAATAAGGGAATATAACAGTGATATAAGGGAGTATAACAGTGAAATATGGGAGTATAACAGTGAAATAAGGGAGTATAACAGTGAAATAAGGAAGTATAACAGTGAAATAAGGTAGTATAAAAGTGAAATAAGGGAGTATAACAGTGAAATTAGGGAGTATAACAGTGAAATAAGGGAGTATAACAGTGAAATAAGGGAGTATAACAGTGAAATAAGGGAGTATAACAGTGAAATAAGGGAGTATAACAGTGAAATAAGGAAGTACAACAGTGAAATAAGGGAGTATAACAGTGAAATAAGGAAGTATAACAGTGAAATAAGGAAGTATAACAGTGAAATAAGGGAGTATAACAGTGAAATAAGGGAGTATAACAGTGAAATAAGGGAGTATAACAGTGAAATAAGGAAGTATAACAGTGAAATAAGGAAGTATAACAGTGAAATAAGGGAGTATAACAGTGAAATAAGGGAGTATAACAGTGAAATAAGGGAGTATAACAGTGAAATAAGGGAGTATAACAGTCAGGGAGGGGACCCGCCCTTCTAATTTCTCCCTACAAGTTCACAGTCAGACACATATTGTTCTGTGAAGCAAGAACAGGGGTTAATGTGACCCCTGGTGACCCCCGGGGGTCACCAGGCCGTTGTTCTACCGTTGTTCTACCTTCCCGCTGCCGACAACGGCTCGTACTGTTAGTTAATGGGGTTTAAAGTGTATCTACTGCACCATGGTAGACAGTTAAGAATACTTTAATACCTAAAATACTGATTAATGTAAACTACCAGTGTATATACACTGAGATATACACCTCTCAGTGTATATACACTGAGATATACACCTCTCAGTGTATATACACTGAGATATACACCTCTCAGTGTATATACACTGAGATATACACCTCTCAGTGTATATACACTGAGATATACACCTCTCAGTGTATATACACTGAGATATACACCTCTCAGTGTATATACACTGAGATATACACCTCTCAGTGTATATACACTGAGATATACACCTATCAGTGTATATCAGAGGTACACAGGTGTTGTTGGGACGTAGATTATATATACATCGTTGAGTTGTAGTTAAGACAGCATTTGATTCTGCCAGGTAGAGGTCTAGCTTGTTGTGTGTGTGGGAAGGTTGTGGTGGTGTGTAGGGAGGTTGTGGTGGTGTGTGAGGTGTGTGGGGAGGTTGTGGTGGTGTGTAGGGAGGTTGTGGTGGTGTGTAGGGAGGTTGTGGTGGTGTGTGAGGTGTGTGGGAGGTTGTGGTGGTGTGGGAGGTGTGTGGGGAGGTTGTGGTGGTGTGTGGGGAGGTTGTGGTGGTGTGTGAGGAGGTTGTGGTGATGTGTGGGGAGGTTGTGGTGGTGTGTAGGGAGGTTGTGGTGGTGTGTGGGGAGGTTGTGGTGGTGTGTGGGGAGGTTGTGGTGGTGTGTGAGGTGTGTGGGGAGGTTGTGGAGGTTTGGGAGATGTGTGGGAGGTTGTGGTGGTGTGTAGGGAGGTTGTAGTCGTGTGGGAGGTGTTGGGGAGGTTGTAGTGGTGTGGGAGGTGTGTGAGGAGGTTGTAGTGTGGGGGAGGTGTGTTTGGAGGTTGTGGTGGTGTGGGAGGTGTGTGGGGAGGGTGTGGTGGTGTGTGGGGAGGTGTGGTGGTGTGTGGGGAGATTGTGGTGGTGTGTGGGGAAGCTGTGGTGGTGTGTGTGGGGAGCTTTTGGTGGTGTGGGAGGTGTGTGGGGAGGTTGTAGTGGAGTGGGAGGTGTGTGGGGAGGTTGTGGTGGTGTGTGGGGAGGTTGTGGTGGTGTGTGGGGAGGTTGTGGTGGTGTGTGGGGAGGTTGTGGTGGTGTGTGGGGAGGTTGTGGTGGTGTGTGGGGTGGTTTGTGGTGGTGCGTGGGGAGGTTGTGGTGGTGCGTGGGGAGGTTGTGGAGGTGTGGGAGGTGTGTGGGGAGGTTGTAGTAGTGTGGGAGGTGTGTGGGGAGGTTGTGGTGGTGTGGGAGGTGTGTGGGGAGGTTGTGGTTGTGTGGGAGGTGTGTGGGGAGGTTGTGGTGGTGTGTAGGGAGGTTGTAGTGGTGTGGGAGGTGTGTGGGGAGGTTGTAGTGGTGTGGGAGGTGTGTGAGGATGTTGTAGTGGTGGGGGAGGTGTGTTTGGAGGTTGTGGTGGTGTGGGAGGTGTAGGTGTGTGGGAGGTTGTAGTGGTGTGGGTGGTGTGTGGGGAGGGTGTAGTAGTGTGGGAGGTGTGTGGGGAGGTTGTAGTGGTGTGGGTGGTGTGTGGGGAGGGTGTAGTAGTGTGGGAGGTGTGTGGGGAGGTTGTGGTGCTGTAGGTGTGTGGGGAGGTTGTGGTGCTGTAGGAGGTGCGTGGGGAGGTTGTGGTGTTGTAGGAGGTATGTGGGGAAGTTGTGGTGCTGTAGGAGGTGTGTCGGGAGGTTGTGGTGTTGTAGGAGGTTGTGGGGAAGCTGTGGTGCTGTAGGAGGTGTGTGGGGAGGTTGTGGTACTGTAGGAGGTGTGTGGAGAGGTTGTGGTGCTGTAGGAGGTGTGTGGGGGATTTCGTGGTGCTGTAGGTGTGTGGAGAGGTTGTGGTGCTGTAGGAGGTGTGTAGGGAGGTTGTGGTGCTGTAGGAGGTGTGTGGAGAGGTTGTGGTGCTGTAGTAGGCGTGTGGAAAGGTTGTGGTGCTGTAGGAGGTGTGTGGGGAGGTTATGGTGCTGTAGGAGGTGTGTGGGGAGGTTGTGGTGCTGTAGGAGATGTGTGGAGAGGTTGTGGTACTGTAGGAGGTGTGTGGAGAGGTTGTGGTGCTGTAGGTGTGTGGAGAGGTTGTGGTGCTGTAGGAGGTGTGTGGAGAGGTTGTGTGCTGTAGGAGGTGCGTGGAGAGGTTGTGGCACTGTAGGAGGTGTGTGGAGAGGTTGTGGTGCTGCAGGAGGTGTGTGGAGAGGTTGTGGTGCTGTAGGAGGTGTGTGGAGAGGTTGTGGCACTGTAGGAGGTGTGTGGAGAGGTTGTGGTGCTGTAGGAGGTGTGTGGAGAGGTTGTGGCACTGTAGGAGGTGTGTGGAGAGGTTGTGGCACTGTAGGAGGTGTGTGGAGAGGTTGTGGCACTGTAGGAGGTGTGTGGAGAGGTTGTGGCACTGTAGGAGGTGTGTGGAGAGGTTGTGGCACTGTAGGAGGTGGTGTGGAGAGGTTGTGGCACTGTAGGAGGTGTGTGGAGAGGTTGTGGCACTGTAGGAGGTGTGTGGAGAGGTTGTGGCACTGTAGGAGGTGGGAGATGTAGAAATGCAGAAATGTGTTGTGGAAAGAAATGAAATCGTAGTGGAGGGACAATAACTCATGGTAGGTACCCTAGAACCCACGATAGGTACCCTAGAACCCACGGTAGGTACCCTAGAACCCACGGTAGGTACCCTAGAACCCACGGTAGGTACCCTAGAACCCATGAGTGAGGCACAAGAACCCACAGTAGATAGGGACGACTTTGTGGAGACAGGATTAATGAAATGACTGTTGTTCTTCTGATAGCAGAACTCTGGGGCCGCTCTTAAGGTCTCAGGGATAAACAGGGTTGGTAAGGACTTGCTCTTGGAGGTCGAGGTGTTAAGTATCGTTCTTGGGAATGGCGTTGGAGGTGTGCGAGGCGCTCTCAAGCTCAAGGAAGAGGCTGGAGGTTCAGATGTGACTGGACACAGAGGAGGTTCATGAATGACTGGAGTGTTTGGAGGTGTGTGAGGCACTCTCGAACTCAAGGAAAAGGCTGGAGGTTCAGATGTGACTGGACACAGAGGAGGTTCATGAATGACTGGAGTGTTTGGAGGTGTGTGAGGCACTCTCGAACTCAAGGAAGAGGTTGGAGGTTCAGATATGACTGGACACAGAGGAGGTTCATGAATGACTGGAGTGTTTGGAGGTGTGTGAGGCACTCTCGAACTCAAGGAAAAGGCTGGAGGTTCAGATGTGACTGGACACAGAGGAGGTTCATGAATGACTGGAGTGTTTGGAGGTGTGCGAGGCACTCTCGAACTCAAGGAAGAGGCTGGAGGTTCAGATGTGACTGAACACAAAGAAGGTTCACGACTGATCTGAATCTCTTTCTGGGTAATACTGATTTGAAGAGCCTTAGAAGGTGAAGACAAAGGTGTAAATCCCGAGGAATCACTAAGAGCTCCAGAGGACACACCACTACTGGAGGAGAAGATCCCACTGGTCGTTGAGGATAAGCTTCCGTTCGAGGAGGTGCTGAGAGCTGAGGATACACTGGAAGCTGAGACAAGACTATTAATGGTAGTGTTGTGGTCTTCATGTTCCGACTCTGTGTCGGTACTCGACTGATCGAGACTTCGACGCCATGACACCTGCAAACCAAAACAAACACACATATTAAATAAGACAATTATTATTTACTCAGACGATCCGAGTAAGTATGGCAACTCTAACTCCTTGAATCAAAGACTTCCTTAGCAAGACTGAAGATTAGACTTACTCTAGACTTAAGACTGAGAGCGTAGGATATATTCCTTCGAAGGACGAAGGAGAGGTTGGCTCTGGAGGCTCTGGGCCAGTCACTCTGAATCACCAGAGGACATTCATCACACCTCAGAGGACGATCGCTGTAGGGGTTCTTGTTGACCTCGTGTAGAATGTAGTGCTGGGGGTTCTCCTTGTTGCTGTAGCAGTTTAACAACAGCTGGACCAGTTGTTCAGCTGTTGTACGGTAAGATACCAACAGTGACTTGTACTGCGACTGTGAAACAAGATACCAGGCACTGTTAGAGGCGGCGAAATACCAGTTACACACTTGTACTGGTACTGTAAGAGAAGATAGGTTGAGAGACGGGTAGACAAACAGGTAGAGAGACAGGCAGACACACGCGTACACACACACATAAGTAAACAGACATGTAGACACACAGATACTCACCCCAGGCATAAGTACAGAATCGTAGACTCTCAGTAGACCACCCCGTCTAACAGCTACACTGAAGCGTGCCTCACCCCTGGGTCGACACTGCTGAAGCTCAGCCGGACAGGCATGGTCGTCCAGCACCAGAAGACGTCTGGCGGGGGCAGCGCCCCCCGGGGCACGAACCACCACCTCCATAGTCATGTAGAAGAGGTTGGGGTCACGATGACGTAGACGAAACTTGGCTAACAGTAGGACAATCATCTGTCGACACGTCGTAGATGTAGACAAACTCATGGTCTTGTACTCAATGTCGGGACGTAGAGCTCTGAGGTAGACTTTCACGGGCGTCTGTAAGAGATCAGGACACTGTTGTGATCCAGGGATACCTAGAGAGTCGTCTACAAAAGACAGGGATACCTTCAGAGCCCTCTACAGGAGACAAGGATACCTACAGAGCCCTCTACAGGAGACAAGGATACCTACAGAGCCCTCTACAGGAGACAAGGATACCTACAGAGCCCTCTACAGGAGACAAGGATACCTACAGAGCCCTCTACAGGAGACAAGGATACCTACAGAGCCCTCTACAGGAGACAAGGATACCTACAGAGCCCTCTACAGGAGACAAGGATACCTTCAGAGCCCTCTACAGGAGACAAGGATACCTACAGAGCCCTCTACAGGAGACAAGGATACCTACAGAGCCCTCTACAGGAGACAAGGATACCTACAGAGCCCTCTACAGGAGACAAGGATACCTACAGAGCCCTCTACAGGAGACAATAAACTTACAGTAATACAATCATGGAACATTCAAGAAATACATCCGTTGTATTTCTCATGGACAGAAAATACAATGATACGTGTGTGTGTGTGTGTGTGTGGAGATAACACTGGAGCAGACTCCAGCATCACTCATCCCCCAGGTGATGCCCAGGAGCTAGGCCCTGGAGTCACCTGACCTCATGACCCGTAACCTCCCCGACCTGTACTGTTTTTGTCACGTGCCCCCAACATTCCAGGCCTGACTCCAGCCTACCCACCACCACTACACCACCAGACAACACAGACCACACTGGTCCAGGAACGCTACCACAGCCTACATAAGAGATGTTTGACTGTAGAATCAAAATCAAAATATCAAACCGTGACAGGACTCGTGTCTATGGCTTCAAGTTAGATAGAAATTTAGATTTAGAAAGGACAGAGAACTGCTGGCAGTGAGTAAATGAGTTTAGGAACCTGTCCGGTACCTTTAAGGATAGATTATACAGGTACGTGAGTGTATGGCGTGAGTTAGACCTAACTAGCATGGGCCAGTAGGCCTACCGCAGTGTTGGTAGAGACAGACAAGTGTTTAATGTGTCCAGATCCTCCTGGAGGTCATTGGTATCCTCAGAATCAGTCACTCGGTCTATTTTTGTATCGTCAGCAAAATGGTTCACATCGCTTGTCAATTCCCTCTTCAAGGGCACTAATGTAAAGAATGAACAATAGTGGGCCTAAAACTTACCCTTGAGGGACGCCGCTAGTGACTGGTACCCATTCAGATTCGACACTATTAATGGTAATTCTCTTCTTGGTAAGTAGCTTCTCGATCCATGCTAGAACTTTACCTCCTGTACCATGAGCTGCCACTTTTCTTAAGAACATAAGAAGGAGCAGTCCTACTGGCCCATGCCAGGTAGGTCCAGCTCACACCCACACATGTCTTCACATCTCTACTGCCTCTGATAAGTGTTCTGTACTCGACTGAAAAAGCCTACTGTGTAGGCTACTGTGAAGCCTACTGTGTAGGCTACTGTGAAGCCTACTGTGTAGGCTACTGTGTAGGCTTGTTCAGGCATCATATTCTTTACCACTGTCTACTTCCTCAGTTAATTTATTGAAGAAGGTCAGTAAATTTGTCAGGCAGGACCGACCTCTGGTGAGTCGATGCTGTGATCCACTCTCATATTATACTCGTTAAGGTGACTTCTAATATCTATAATTGACTCTAATAATTTACCTGTTATAGACTTAAGGCTTATTGGACGGTAGTTTGAGGGAATGAACTTATTTCCTGATTTAAATATAGGAATTACATTAGCCATCTTTCACACCTCTGGCACAACACCAGTGTAAATTGATGAGTTAGACAGGATAGTTAGCGGCTGACTAAGTTCCAACTTGCATTCTTTAAGTAAGCCTTAACGTCAAGGTCTGAAAAGTGGTAGATAAAGTTCAATGTGGACAAATGTAAGGTACTAGTCCTTGGGAATGAAAAAAAAACCTCGAAATTATAAACTAGGTGAAGTAGAGCTTGATCACACTCTAAAAAGGACTTAGAGTCATGGTTGAGCAGAAATGTGAAGCCAAGACAACAGTGGGTAAGTGTGAGCAGTAATGTCACAGATTACTTGGATTTATCTCAAGAAGTATAAGTAATGGGAGTCTGAATGTTATTATACAGCTCTATACATCACTAGTAAGGCCTCGCTTGTATTATACAGCTCTATACATCACTAGTAAGGCCTCGCTTGTATTATACAGCTCTATACATCACTAGTAAGGCCTCGCTTGTATTATACAGCTCTATACATCACTAGTAAGGCCTCGCTTGTATTATACAGCTCTATACATCATTAGTAAGGCCTCGCTTGTATTATACAGCTCTATACATCACTAGTAAGGCCTCGCTTGTATTATACGCCTCTATACATCACTAGTAAGGCCTCGCTTGTATTATACAGCTCTATACATCACTAGTGAGGCCTCGCTTGTATCATACACCTCTATACATCACTAGTGATATCTCACCTAGATTACACAGCACAGTGTTGGTCTTACTAGAGGACGGATATACATTCGTTGTAGAACACACATATAAGGACCACTGTATAAGGAATTACTTATATAATGACAGACTTAGAGCCCTGAATGTACACTCTTGTCAGACGTAGACTGAGAGATAGAGTTGTATAAGTGGATGGTAGATATAGAGCCGATAGTAATATTGGGGGATGTCGACTCGGGTAAGAACCAGGAATAGCGTATTTAAGATAGATTTTGATTTAGACAGACATAATTACTGGTGTTGCAGCCGAGTTGAAGAGGCGTGGGACAATCTAAGATGTAGGGTACTAGGTACTGGGTAGATTTAGAAAGATATTAGATAGATATTTGAGTTAGAAGGGCTGGGTTAGATTAGTACCTAAGGTACTGAAGGGGATTTTTGGCCAGCTTAGAATAGAGGGTTAGGGTAATAGATGGGTGGGAATGGCCTAGTATGGGCCAGTAGGCCTACTGTAGAGTTCCTCTAGTCTTGTGGTCTACTGGCCCATGCGAGGCAGGTCTAAGTCTCCCATTGGCTTAAGCCAATCTCCAAACCTAGTCAGGTCAGGTCAGATTCATGTTAGGGCAGCTAGGAGGCCTGGTCTGAGGCTGGGTAGCAGGGGCCATGATACCCAGAGCGTTTTTCAGGGCGTGAGAGAGAGAGAGAGAGAGAGAGAGAGAGAGAGAGAGAGAGAGAGAGAGAGAGAGAGAGAAGAGAGAGAGAGAGAGAGAGAGAGAGAGAGAGAGAGAGAGAGAGAGAGAGAGAGAGAGAGACAGGATGTCATGGCTGGCAGGAGAGGAAAATGATTAGCTAAGTAGATTCTCTGGAGAAAGTTGATGAGTTGAATGTGTTGTCACCTAGTTATGGTTGCAGGTGTCGAGTCACAGCTCCTGCCCCCGCCTCTTCATTGGTGGCTACTAGGGCCACTCTCTCTCTCTGCTCCACGAGCATTACTATACCTCTTCTTAAAACTATGTATGGTTCCTCCCTCCACTACATCACTCCTCAGGTTGTTCCAAACACACACACACACACACACACACACACAGACATACACACACACACACACACACACACACACACACACACACACACACACAGACACAGACACAGACACACACACACACACACACACACAGACACACACACACACACACACACACACAGACACACACACACACACACACACACACACACACAGACACACAGACACACAGACACACACAGTATGAAAATAACATAGCATCGAGAATCAAGACTGACCCGAAACTGTTGTATAGCCACATCAGGAGGAAGACAACAGTCAAAGACCAGTGATCAGATTAAGGACAGAAGGTGGAGAACTCACAAGAAATGATCAGGAGGTATGTGAGGAGCTGAACAGGAGATTTAAGGAAGTTTTTACAGTAGAGACAGGAAGGGCTGTGGGAAGACAGCACAGAAGGGAACATCAAGAGGGAATATACCAACAAGTGTTGGATGACATACGAACAACTGAGGAGGAGGTGAAGAAGCTCTTAAGTGACCTTGACACCTCGAAGGCGATGGGACCGGACAACATCTCCCCATGGGTCCTTAGAGAAGGAGCAGAGATGCTGTGCGTGCCTCTAACCACAATCTTCAACACATCCCTTGAAACTGGGCAACTACCTGAGAAATGGAAGACAGCAAATGTAGTCCCCATATTTAAGAAAGGAAACAAAACGAGGCACTAAACTACAGACCTGTGTCTCTGACATGTATTGTGTGCAAAGTCATGGAGAAGATTATCAGGAGGAGAGTGGTTGAACACCTGGAAAGGAACAAGATTATAAATGAAAACCAGCATGGGTTTCATGGAAGGCAAATCTTGTATCACAAACCTCCTGGAGTTTTATGACAAGGTAACAGAAGTAAGACACGAGAGAGAGGGGTGGGTAGATTGCGTTTTCCTAGACTGCAGGAAGGCCTTTGACACAGTTCCCCACAAGAGATTAGTGCAGAAGCTGGAGGATCAGGCACACGTAAAAGGAGGGCACTGCAATGGATAAGGGAATACCTGACAGGGAGGCAGCAACGAGTCATGGTACGTGAAAAGGTATCACAGTGGCGCCTGTTACGAGCGGGGTCCCACAGGGGTCAGTTCTAGGACCAGTGCTATTTTGATATATGTGAACGACATGATGGAAGGAATAGACTCTGAAGTGTCCCTGTTCGCAGATGATGTGAAGTTGATGAGAAGAATTAAATCGGATGAGGATGAGGCAGGACTGCAAAGAGACCTGGACAGGCTGGACATGTGGTCCAGAAACTGGCTTCTCGAATTCAATCCAGCCAAATGCAAAGTCATGAAGATTGGGAGGGGCAAAGAAGACCGCAGACAGAGTATAGGCTAGGTGGACAAAGACTACAGACCTCACTCAGGGAGAAAGACCTTGGGGTGACCATAACACCGAGCACGTCACCGGAGGCACACATCAACCAAATAACTGCTGCAGCATATGGGCGCCTGGCAAACCTGAGAATAGCGTTCCGATACCTTAATAAGGAATCGTTCAAGACACTGTACACTGTGTATGTTAGGCCCATACTGGAGTATGCAGCACCAGTCTGGAACCCACACCTGGTCAAGCACGTCAAGAAGTTAGAGAAAGTACAAAGGTTTGCAACAAGGCTAGTCCCAGAGCTCAAGGAAATGTCGTACGAGGAAAGGTTAAGGGAGATCGGACTGACGACACTGGAGAACAGAAGGGTCAGGGGAGACATGATAACGACATACAAGATACTGCGGGGAATAGATAAGGTGGACAGAGATAGGATGTTCCAGAGTGGGGACACAGGGACAAGGGGTCACAACTGGAAGCTGAAGACTCAGACGAGTCACAGGGACGTTAGGAAGTATTTCTTCAGTCATAGAGTTGT